GCGTTGGGCTACAGCGGGGACTTACCCTCAACGTGGAGAGGTTATCATATTATTTACGGCGGTTTCTTGTGACCGTTTCGGGAATCCCCTTTGTTCTTTCCCAACCTTGTGGGGAAACAACAGAAGCGTCATCGTGAGAGGGCACGCATAGAGGATACAGAGATTCTAGAGGCATGGGTTACCGCCTGCACGGGCCATAGGAAACGGGGATACTATGTAAAATGCCCGGGGACCCGTGGACCGGAGTGGGCTTCGAAAGACAGCTCATGTTAATCGAGCCCCCCGGAACATTTCCGCTCTCTTCTAGGTTATGCAGCAGGCATTGTCGGCGTCGGCGGGCCCGTCGCCACGTGATTGTGGGTTCCAAACCTTCTCTGGGGAGCTCTCAAGGCATGGCAGGGCAGGACAAGGGTGGTAAAGCTTCTATCCTTTTGCTCGCTCCGCTGCCTTCCTTGGCCTTGGTACGTTGCATGTAAGCTAATACACACACTGTAGTGGATGCTCACTACAATCATGGCAGCAATGCCGTGCTCGTTGTGAAATAAGTGCGGGTTGTATGAACAGTGGAGTTGTATGTGAGTGCTTATTGATGTACATTGAGTATTACATTGGTGAAGGCATTAAGCATTCCTTATGAAGTGACCATTTGTATGGTTACAGGAGAGGCTGGCATGAGCCTTGGTGCAAAAGGTCTTGCAACATGCTATGCCGTCTCCTCCCCAAGCCCCGAAGGGCGCAGTGCCGGCTCTAGTGGGGTTGCAGAACAAAGCAATTTTGGAGAACAACTGAGGGAAGTAATTTCATTAACCTCTGTTAGTTTGTTGTTTTGTTGTATCAGTATGATAGCTAATGCCTTCCAGCTCGCTATACTCAGCTGTGGGGTTCTATGGATGCGCCCCACAGTAGTCTTTCAGAGACACAACCTAATAATACGCAAAGCTAACCGCAAATATTTATAGTAAAGAGAAATACCTTACGTTATCTTGAACAAATCTCAGCCTAGCATGTGATGGAATGAGAGATCTCGCCAGAGATCATTAGCTTACTGGGCCCGCAGTACCTCTAGTGTCATGGATCTGCATCACCCTATCGTGTGAGGGAACTTGGATCCCTACTAGGCCTCACAATTGTGCTTTTCATCTGCGTTTGTGTTGTCGTTGGGGGCACAAGTCGCTGACCTGCTCGCAGTGACTGGTGCATCTTCTGACGTGAGTGGTATCAGGTTCAGAGGGCCCTATGATCCGTAAGGCCGCAAACTCTGCCTAGACTAGCCTTTCTGAGGGGGAGCTTCTCACATTAAGCTTTGTTAGTTTTGTTATGTTGCTGCATCAGACGAGAGGTCTGAGGGTCTGTAGCAGTTTATTTGTGGGTATCAGTTAACCAATGCTTGCCGGCTAGCTATAATCAGTTCTAAGGATGTTCCGCACAGCAGTCTTTCAAGGGAGCAGCCAACTAATATGTCATTTTTGCTGCAAATATTAAAGTGTAGTATTTTTTGTCATCGTGAACAAATCTCGGCATAGCATATGAGGGACTGAGGGATGGCGCCACATATCATCAGCTTACGGGGCCCACAGTACCTCTGGTGTTATGGATTCACAACGCCCTATCGTGTGAGAGATCTTGGATCCCTGTATGTCTCACAGTTGTGTATTCTTGTCTGCATTTGTGTTGTCATTGGGAGCACAAAACGCAGAGCTGTGGGCATTGATTGGTGCATCCATTGACGAGGTTGGGATCAAGTTCCGAGGGCCCTGTGATCGCTAAGGCCCTAAACTCTCCTTTGCTGGTCTGCTGTAAGGAAGTTTCTCACAATCCGCTTTTTGTGTCTGGGTTGTAATTGCCATGACCCTCCTATATATTCATGTGAGCTACACCGTTATACAACCTGCCGCCGAGTGTGAGAGCAGTGCGTGCGCGAGGGCACGGGCACTTTCTCCCTCTCCTCTCGCGGAAGGACTACCGACACAGTTGCAGCTTTTCGCCCAATATCCCACATGCCTACTCCATA